ATATCTATATCTTTATCTATATCTATAGAGAGATAGAGAGATAGAGAGATAGAGAGATAGAGAGGAGATAGAGAGATAGACGGGAATGGGAAGGAGGGACCTGGAAAGAGTTAGATCATAAGCGTGAGGAGGGACTTTCATAAAAATAAAATGCAGTCATGTATAAGGGGAAAACAATTTTAATTAAAAAATATGTGTGAGCCTGTGAGATGGTTCAGGCAGTAATGGCACTTGCCTTTTGATGTGAGTTGGATTAACCCCTAGGTCCCACCTGATAGAATGAGTTAACTGATCCCCTAAAGTTGTTCTCTGACCTCCACAAGCACACCATGGTGTGTCCACAGTAGATAATGAAGACTAAATAAAACAACTTAAAATTGTGAGTATATAGCTCACCCCTGCTTTGAATTTATTTTAAAATCAAGCATTTTGAAAACACTGTATTCTCAAAAAAATAATAATACAAAACCTAGCACATCCATATAAAATTATCATGCAAGGAATACATTTTTAATCTATGGTCTATGCAGTCTGAGAGTAAATAAAATACCAGGAAGCACTAATTACAATGTCCATGTTTAAGCAGAGTTTGTCACTGAGAATAATTTTGGAGGACAAGATATCACTGTTAATTCACTTGAAAATTCTTTTAACAATGAACAGAAACCAAATAACTACATTTGTATATGATGAAAAGACACAGATTTTAAATATGCAAACGTATTTTAGGAAATACACATCCAGGAATTCTGATTGGATGGTGAAAAAGAAACTGCACATACCCCGATTTGACAGGTAGCACACTTCTAGTCTTTGTTCAGGAGAATTCCTGGAGAGTTGGTCCGCCTCCTCAAGAGCACTTCTGTACCACCTCTTCTTACTGGTGCATTCTGCTGTCTATATGAACACATAAATTCAGATCATGTGTAATGTTTAGTTTTAAATGTTAGTTTTGTTTTAGAATCTATACTTTACCTAACTACTTGCTGGAACTAAGTCGAATTTGAGCACTATATAATATCAGTTAGACCTTAGTATCTGACTATTAGTTCATTGTTTTAAAACTTAGCAATGTTGTAAGAATCTTGCAAGCTAATAACCAGTTCATTAAGATGATATGATGCACCTCACATGGTTCCAGGGTAAGCAAGAAGTCAATATGAGCACATCTGACTGGGATAACTGAGAATGTGCCAGAGAATGATACCAGAGTGGTAGAAGGAAACAAAACAATCTTTCCAGCTTGGGTGTTGTGGCTGACCTCCACACACTATGCACTTCTTAAGCTTTCTGTACTTCAGCCTCTCCATGTTTATAATATCTGAGTATGAGCAGCCAACACCTGAGTGCTCATGAGTATTATTTAAGACAGTAGATGAGGGTTTTCTGAATAGTAAGAACTCATTGTGTGTTTTTCTAATAAGACATAGCACATTTTCTAGATGTATAAAACCTGAGCAAAAGAATCTGTGTTAAAAATATCCATCATCCAATATAGAAATTTTTCCAGAGTTTCTTAATTGCTAGGGAATGTTTTAATGTCTTTCAATGTTACAATTTATAAAATGCATGGCATAATTTTCATTTTGAAAATGTCATCAAGGGGAATATAGAAATTTATTCTACCAATACATATTTACCACCTATGTATAAAGGTCTTAGGCTTGTCTCTGATAAAAGGGATAATGCAGTATTTGCACAGACTTTTCAACCTCTACAACATTCCCTCTCAACTCACACAATGAAACTGTGTACCAAGCCCTTTTCAAATGTCACATTATTCTTGTAGTCTCCAAATTAGAATCAACTATCTGCCCCAATGATGACCAATATTGTCATTTAGTGAGTTGCTACATTCTGACATGTGTCATAGTTACATTGGGCCATGACTGTCACCACCCATGAGCAAAGGTCCATAAAGGCAGTGTACATTCATCTTTGTGTCTTGCACATGTAGCCATGACTGTCACCACCCATAAGTGAAGGCCTGTGAGGACGGCATATATTCATCTTTGTATCTTGCACAGCGCCTCTGGCCTGACACCTTACTGAATGCTCTAAGTATTCAGTAAATGTGTCTTAGCTATGTTTCTGGCAATTTCTGGTACAGAATTAAATGAATAAAAGATTATAATCCAATAAAATACTTTCATACATATATGTAAATTTCATTCATTTGCTGAGTTATTATTTCTCAGATTAAAAAAGATGAAAATGTAGGCAATTCAATTTGTTGACATTACTGTTTACATTTATGTATTTTGTGTGTGTGAGCCACAGCACATGTGTGGAAACTGAAGGACAACTTGAAGGGCCTGGTTCTCTCCTCATACCATGGGAATTCTGAGCTCAAACTTAGGTCGTCAGACTTGGAGACAAGCATCTTTACCCACTCAGCCATTTTTCTGGCCTTCACACTGTAAATTCTAAACTAAGAATATCTGGGTGGGCATGATGACACACATCATTAACGCCAGCACTCAGGAGACAGAGGCAGGTGGATCTCTGTGAGTTCAAAGTCAGCCTGGTCTACATAGTGAGCCCTAGGCCAGCCAAGGCTGTATAGAGAGACCTTGTCTAGAATATATATGCTAGTTTTTTCATAGTTAATGTATCTCTGCAGCACTGTACAGTGAAGAAAATCTCCCACAAAACTGAACAGATGCTCTATTACATATAAGGAAATAGCTCAGGACTATTAGTGACAATGAACTACAGACAGTTAAGGGGACTAGAAAGCAGAGATGATGTCAGGGCTTCTTTAAGAACTTATGGTAGATACTGGACACCTTGTGGCTGAACTCATGAACACTTTTAAAGGTGCTCAACAGCTGAACTTCAAATTTATGAAGAATTTTTAATTCCAGAATTAGGCTTAACTATACAATGTATATATTTCTTAATGAAGAGGCGACAGGTTCAAGCTCTAGTGGCTCTGAATGTGCCATTCTTCTCATTCTTGGAACTCTTTCTCTCTAAGTCAACCGTGATTGATGATTTTGCTATTCTTGTACAAGTACAGGATGCATTTACAAGCACTTCAAAAAGTATAGGTGTTTATTTTACATTGATATCAATGGATATATATACTTTTTCAATTTTCTCTCTGTACAATTTATTGATTGATTTGACATAAGGTAGCCCCCTAGAATCTATTAGTGAGTAGACAAAACTTACCAAAGTTGTGTGATAAGGACACTCCAACACAAGTGTGTGAGGAAAGAAGTGCACACGGCAGGAGGGAGTAACGGAAATCAGCCACTCTGAATGAGAGAGGCAGGACGGTCAGAGGAACCGCCTTAATGGTGGTTCTTAAGCAAAGACTTGAAGAAGGTTGGCAGTTAGCCTTTAGCTATTGGAGGAGGAGACATCTTCTAAGGTAGAATATTCAAGATGCGCCAAGGAACCCAGAGTGACTGAGAGACAATGGTGGAGACTCAGTGTCTGAAAGTTACTCAGGGCCAGGTTAGGGAGGGCCATGCAGCAGTGCAGGTGTTTGGTTAGGACGTGGCTTGAAACAGGTGCCACTGCAGAGCTCTGATGGAGGTGCTCCTTTGTTTGAATGCCCACCCCTCCCCTTCTTTTCCTTTTGGAGACATGCTCTTACGACATGGCCAGAACTTGCCATCTCCCTGTATCTCTCTGAGCCCTGGAATTATACATATCATCACAGCTGGCTTTGTTTCATGCCCCCAAACAATCATTCTTCCTGCTTTGATGAGGTCAGGTTATGCAGAGGTAAGTGTGGCTGTGGGACATCTGCTTAGCCAGCTACCAAAACAACCCAGGCAGCAAACTACAGTCATGTGGACCAGGGAAGCCACTCTGAGTGTGTGAACTCTATGATTCCATTACCTATCAAATTAACTTAGTAACATTAGTAACAAACTGCTTTAATGGTTAGAGCTTTTTGTCATTTGTTCCTTATGTGTTTCACAGGCTTAATACCATCACTCTTGATTCCATTCCCTACAAATACTAAAATTACTTTTCGATGCCACTTAAATTGAGATTCTATTCACATTAATTTAAATTGACATCTTGTGAGTTAAACCTTCCACACCAAAAAGTGGATTCTGTATTTCCATTCTCTTGGGCTTATTTTCTATCTTTTAGTAGGATTTTGGATTTTTACTTAGTAGGCTTGATACATTGCTTCTCACACTTACTCCAGGGCATTTTATAGGATTTGAGGTTATAAAAAATGAGTATTGCAATTCTTATTTTCAAACTGGTCACTTTTGCATAGCAATCATATTAGCTGAGATATAACTGAATTTTCCCATTTTTTTTCTCAGCAAGACCATTCTTTATTTTAAAAATATAGTTTTTGATACAGGGTCTCAATACACAAACCTGGGTGGGCTCAAACTCACTATGTAGACCATACTTGTCTCAAACTCAACAGTGATCTCCCTGTCTGCAGATCACCCAGCCATCTTTTATTTGATTTTTTCTTTATTTTTTTATTTGAACTAGAAACAAGATTGTTTTACATGTCAATCCCAGTTCCCACTCCCTCCCTTCCTCCCCTACCACCCCCTCCCCAACTAAAACCCTACCTAACACATACCCTTTCTGCTCCCCCTGGAGGGTGAGTCCTTCCACAGGGGGTCATCAGAGTCTACCATATCCTTTGGGATAGGGTCTATGCCCACCCCCATGTGTCTTGGCTCAGGGAGTATCCCTGTATGTGGATTGGGCTCCCAAAGTCCACACCTATGCTAGGGATAAGCACCGAACTACTACAAAAGGTCCCGTAGATTTCCGAGGTCTCCTCACTGAAACCCACGTTCCTGGGGTCTGGATCAGTCCCATGCTGGTATCCCAGCTATCAGTTTGGGGACCAAGAGCTCCCCGTTGTTCAGTTCAGCTGTTTATGTGGGTTTCACCAGCCTGGTCTGGACCCCTTTGCCCATCACTCATTCTTCTCTGCAACTGGATTCCAGTTCAGTTCTATTATTTATAAAATTTTTGTTTATAGCAGATTTTCTATTTGGGTTCCAGTGACTTTCCAGGCATATAACCATGTTAAAAGTATTATTTTGGAGCAGGAAAGATGTCTCCGTGGTTCAGGGAGCTCAATGATCTTTCACAGGACCCAGATTCAATTCCCAACACTCATAAGCACTCATACAGTGACTCACAACTGTTTGTAACTGCAGTTTCTATACACATAAAATTTTTTAAATGTCATTTTGCTTTCCTGTCTATGTAATTTTGTTTCCCTTTTGGCTCATTAGACAAACAACTAGAATACCACAAAATTAAATATCAGTACATGGGAATTTAACATACTTTTTAAAAATATCCCAACTTCCTACACAAATGATCAGTTTCTCCTCTAGTGAAAATACTCAGTCAAATGAGCTCAGGAGCTTTTGAGGACATGAACTTAGTTGAATCATTCTAGAGAAGTAGAGGACTTCAGAAACGGTGTGTTGGTAACCATCCTTGCAAACCACTCTCCTACACACTGTTATAATCACTCACTTGGAATCTTCCAGGCAAAGGCTTCTGGATTGTCAAGAGAGGCCCAGTATCTCACTAAATTGAATCATTGCACATCCCTGTTTACTAGGTTAACGTTTGTCAAGAATGAATGAACAACCTGCTTGAATGTATTACAGTGGTAACATTGTGATTCATTTTAATACAAAAGACTAATTCAATAGTGTGGTGCCACCCACCTTTGATTGCAGCACTCAGGAGGCAGAGACAGGTGATCTCATGAGTTCCATGCCAGCTTGATCTACACAAGAAGTTCCAGGCCGGGCATGGTTGCACAAAGCAATCCTGTCAAATAAAATGTCCTCCAATTACTGTAGCCCTCACAACAATTTTTAAAAAGTATCCACTCACATGTTCAAGAAAATTCCAAATTTCTTTTCAAGTCA